GTCTGTCACTGGCATAAAAAAATACATGCTGTCTGATTCGAAAAAATATCCAGATTAATGTCTTAAAATCAAATGGCTGTCTACAAGTAAATATACAGTCATGATACAAATAACAAATAAAAATCTTATTAAATAACAAAGAAGCAACAAATAAATCACGAAACAGCGTAATTTTCTTGGAGATATTTCTGAGAATCAGTTAATGGTGTCCATTTAAAATGAAAGCCAACAGCAGGGTCACAAAGGCTAGAGGCGACTTCAGGAGGACACCTGTAAAGAAATATTTTAAAAAGATATCAGTAAAAACAAATTGTAACTGTCTTATTCTTTAGGCATTTTTATCATATTATTTACTATCTATTGATAAATTATCAGAATTTTTTTTTAAAAGTGATAAAAATTAGCATCATTCATGTACAAAAAATTATTATTGATAAGTTCATTTTTCTGTAACTTTTAGGTCATTTCAAATAAATCAAGTAAGTTTGGTTTTAATCCTTTATAAATCTTTTTCGTCCTTTTTTTTTCTTTTACGGACAGATGATACAAACAAAAAATGATGCCTGGATCGGTATATACTTTTGCCCTAATTTCATTGCAAATGATGCAAATAACAATTTTCTAGAATATAAAGATATTGTAAACCTTCTGTGATGTTCAAAATTCTGCCCTTCTGAAATCATCCCTATTATTCTATACAATATTTTTCACTTCCAATCCCAGTTTTGTGAAATGTTGATTAAAAAATTAAAAATTATACAGTGAAACTTATTTATTTTACTCATTTAAACATGACCCAAGTTGTTATTTTTAAATTTTTTGACATAAATCTGTTTGAATCATCTGTCCTTAGTCATCTCCTACAAGCTTTCTCTTTAAACGCAAAAAATTGCTGTTAAAAATAAAAAGATATAAATTATTGTTGTCTTTATTGACGTACTGGCACTATTTTGCGCAGCACACTGCCCCAGAATGACGTCAGAACATCCTGCATAAGTTGTTGTTTCGTCACTCATGTCGTCACAGTCTGGTGCACAGTCACACACGAACGCTCTGTCAATGCACGTGATTCCGCCAGACCGGCAAGTAAACCATCCACTGGGGCACAACTGTGAAGAGAAAGGAGTAAATTTTCATTTAGAGTAAATACATTGAATAGGAAGAAAAGAATCACATATAGTTTGAGGTATAATTTTACATCCACTGAATATATTTTTCCAATTCTTTTTCTTTTGAAAGGCTTGTGTCAATTTCAATCCATTAGCACTGCACAAATTAGAAACAATGCCATATTGACAGAGATAAGGGTAATACACTTAGGGCAGAGATACTTCCATTTTCCAGTAATTGTTTTATGGGTATTAGTTTAAGTCTTACGAACCTGTACATATGCTCCGGCAGCGAAGGTGGGGCAGGCTTGGGCGTTGCAATCATCCAAATCGCTTGAACCACCGGAACATTCTTTACCGCCGTTTTCTGGTTTGGGATCGGTACAGGTGCGAGCACGTGACCATTTTCCACCACCACAGGATACAGAGCAGGTTCCCCAAGGGCCCCAGTTACTCCAAGCACCGTCAACTGTTCACAAAGAACCGTGGAGAAAATTTTATTTGCTGATTTGACATAGAAGTGATTAATTTGACGAATATACGCCATTTATAAATTTCTTATCCTTAGTAGAGAAATTTACTTACTGATACAAACTTGTGTGTTACAGTCTTGATTCTGACTTGTCGCCCCTGAACACTGTGCACCGCCATACTGTGGAGTTGGATTAGAACAACTTCGCGTGCGCACCTGTGTTCCTCCGCCACAAGTTACGGTGCAGGTGCCCCAGGATCCCCAATTGGAGAAACCGCCATCAACTAATTGTCAAAAAAGCAATAAAATTGACATGATTTGTGTTAATTGTTCTCTATATATCTTTTATACAGATAATCAAGATGCAATTGCTCATAGGCATTCAAAAGAACATGAAGGAAACAAATCCTTTCAAACAATAAATTAGCAAATAGAAGTACATGAATGTTATTGTTACGGTAGTTAACTTACTGGGACAGTTCTGTGTGTTACAGGACTGACTGGACGAGGAAGAACTGGGACAGGACAGACCGCCATATTGAGGGGCGGGGTTAGAACAGCTTCGTGAACGTATCTGTGTACCTCCCCCACAAGTCACAGTACATGTACCCCAGGAACCCCACGATGCCCAAGCTCCATTTACTATGAAAAATATTACTCTGGTTTATTTGATCAAATTAATGACATTAAGATATTGGATTTAAGAAAATGGATTTAATAAAATCAAAGGCAAATGAATTGTATCTCAAAAATTTTTTTTTTATCTGTACCTAAGAAATAAAATTTAATGGCATCTCTTACTTGGACAGTTGTGTGTGTTACATGTTTGAGTGTTGGAGGAGAACCCAGTACAATAAGCTCCGCCATATTGTGGAGTGGGGTTACTACAAGATCGGGTTCGGGATTGGACTCCGCCTCCACACGTCTCTGTACACGAAGCCCAGGATCCCCAACCGGCCCAGAATCCGTCAACTGTTGAGAAAAATATCACGTCTTAATGAACTAGATTAATTTTTGTGTATTTTTTATTACAAATCTTGATAACGTAAAATATTTAACTTCTGAAAATGTCATTAAATGGTAGGAACGAATTATTTATTGGAAAAAAGCAACTAGCTAAAAACTGTATGCTTAATACACTTCCATTTACATTGTAGTACGTACTTGGACAATTATGTGTGTTGCAGTTTTGGGATGAGCTACTAGATCCAGCACAGTCCTGTCCTAGGTACTGAGGTGCGGGGTTGGTACACGTTCTGCTTCGTGATTGGACACCGCCGCCACAGGTCAAAGAACATGACCCATAAGATCCCCATGATGCCCAATTTCCATCAACTATTTTAATGCACAACGCAACATTAAATAGTTACTAATAAAGAATAAAAACCTTAAAATATATATTTTAGTCAATAATTTTACATAATTAATTAACTTACTTATTTTGAACATCCAGTAAAATTAATACAATAAAAAATCTCAATCTCTTACTCGGACAGTTATGCGTGTTACAGCTTTGAGAAGAACTGGAAGACCCAGAACAAGATTGCCCGCCATGTTGAGGGGCGGGGTTAGAACAGGAGCGGCTCCGGCTTTGTGTTCCCCCACCACAAGAAACAGAACAACTTCCATAGGATCCCCACGATCCCCAATTCCCATCAACTGAGGAGATTATTACACACCTTTCATTAATATTTATGCTTAGATCATAGAAAATTGGGGAACAATTAAATAAAATTTATTATTCCTTTCAGGAACTTTTCTGATAATCCGAAAAACGTAACATTCCAATGCTTAGTAAGTCATCATGGGGACATACACGTAGCTATTATTTAAATTGGCCATTTGTTTCGCAACGTCGTTGGCTGTCATTGAAAAAAAAATAAAACGATAAAACGTTTAACTACTTTTAAATTCATTTGAAAGATATAAGATGGGATAGCTTTCATAGTAAAACAAACGACAATACATCGTGAATATCGTTATATCAACTAAAGAGCATTCTCTTTCATCTAATGAAATGCTGAAGCACTATTAAATGAATACTAAAAAATGAAGAGAGAAATGAAAAAAGGACCACCAAGCTATATGATGCCTACTTGGACAGGCACTCAGTGTACACGTGGCTGATGACGTAGAACTTCCTGCGCAGTCGTTTCCACCTCCTGCTGGAGCAGGGTTGTTACAGGATCTAGATCTGGATTTTGTGCCACTTCCACAGGTCACAGAACATGCGCCGTATGACCCCCAGGATCCCCATGCAGTTACCATCCACTATATTTTTTAATTGAAAAACGTGTGAAAGTTTTAATCATTTATTTATTTGAGAAAAAAAGCATTTGCATGCCTTAACTCCTATGAATTTCAATTTTAATTCTTTATCAAGCATTTCTCGATATTATATGTTTAGACTATGAGTAGCTTAAATTGGATAGATCTTCAGACTCAAAGGTCGCACCTCTGCAGGGTGTAGTTGGAGTACAAGATACAGTCTGACTTCCGGACCCCGAACACTGTTTTCCATCATACGCAGGGGCTGGGTTGGAACAAGTTCGGGTTCGAGTTTGAGTTCCAGAAACAGAGCCCGACGTAGGTTGACACGTCACTGAGCATGCGCCGTATGAAGTCCAACTTGCCCAGTTACCGTCAACTAAAAAGGAGAACATCTGTTATAGAAACCGATAAGGAAGACAAACTAGCCCTTTGACCATCAAAATAAAATGAAAGAAAATGAAGGGATGAGTCATGTTCCTTTTAATACGAAAGAGATGAGAGTGGTTGACTTACTGGGCGGTGGTTTGGCACAGTCTTCGTTTACCTGTCCATCCCCGTCATCATCTGACAATAATACAGTTTTATTGTTATCATTAGAACATTATCATATAAAAATGTTGTTATCAATCAGCGTTTCACTGCTTTTGCATAGTGATACATTCAATGAAAATATAAAATGAGCAGGATGTAAAATATTAGAGCGAAAACAACAAAAAAAGATATATAAATCATTTATACACTTCTTTGCTTTTTCGAGTAATCAGAAGCGACATGTTCCTTTGACATGCATTGTAACATTTCCGGACACCTGCGTTATTGTTTTCCGGTGTACACAGTTCCTCATCAATCAATCCGTCACAATCATTGTCAATACCGTCCCCTGTCACAGTAGCAGTAGGAATACAAACCTAATTATAACCAAAAAAAAATCACTTTGTTATCAATGGTGTCAATACGTTTCATCATCACCATCTATAATTTACCTCATATATTTTACTTTCTACACATTCCTTATTAGGGATGTTGTTTTAATATAAGCTGATTATAATATAAAAGCAGTTGAAAATTCATCAGTATTGCATCTAAAAGACCAACACTAGTATTGAATTTAAAGAAACTGATTAAGAGACTTCGTTTGATAAACTTACTGAGTTGACTTTGGCCATTCGCATACCAGTTGTGAATCCATACGTTTCATAATTAGCCTGCCCATACAGGAAACCACCAAAGATGGCGATAGGTGAGGTGTGTCGGACCGTGTGGGTTCCCTCGGAGACAGAGATATAGCCACCCACCAGGTCGGTTCCAGAGATTTTGTTGTAGTTTGTGTTCGATGGAAAAGTCTGTCCGTCGATTCTTAGTCCGGATGCTTTGCTCTCTTCAACTATAAACATGAAGTAGTTGTTGTAGGATCCTAGCGAGTATTTAGGCGTACTGAACGTGTAATCTGCACCATATTGTTCAACAGGGGGGATAATCAACATGGCGGGATCGGACTTTTCCGAGGAGCTCCGCTGAGATTGGACGAACTGGACAACCATGATGGGTTTGTCTGCAACAATTTTACAATAAGCCGTGGAAGAAATCAGCTTCTGGACCATGTTTCCGGCATTACTTATCGTGAATGTTGAGCTGTATCCACCAGAGATCGTTACTCTAGTGTTGCTTTCGCTAGCTATAAACTTGAAATAATCTCCAACGGTTCGCTTGGGAATGGGAACTGTAGCGAAGGTTTTCCCCCAAGTGTTGACGGGAAACATCTGTTCAACCACGTGATCAGAAGATCCACCCGAACCAATCCTGGTCTTTTTGTTTCCGGAGAAGACGGACACGAGTTTGTTTGATTTTACGTAACTTCCGGTGAGATCGCCACTGCTGGTCAGCTGCCACGTGTCGTATTTGTTGAGTGTTTCAGACACCACATTTCCTTTGTAGTATCTACTTCCACCATAGTTAATGTAGGTACTCCCAATGTGTTGACTAACTGTTATACTGACGGAAGTAGAGTCCTCAACACCCACTATCAACAATTCACACTGGTAAACAGGAGGGTACCACGTGACCAGGTAGTACTCGTCAGACAGTACATCTATTGGTAGACCGACGAAGCCGTCGCAAGAGTAGCGCTCCTTGTTGACCCCGTATATAACTACTTCGTCCGAGGCCTTGATCCGGACGCCTTTACTGGACTTTGTGGATCCGGCCATTCTGAAATCGAAAATAATTCTTTAAAAAAAAATGACAATTAACAAGGCATAAAGTAACCTTTTTCTGGATATTCTCAAATCTTGGAGATTGTATTTTAACTCATTGGAATTAATCTTCATAATTATAGTATACATGTGTTTTGCACTGTACCTGATGTTGGGATTGAAGAACAGTTGTTTAACCTGTCCTGCAGTCACGGTGAAGGACTCAGAGATGCTGGGGTTGGTACATTTGGGGGAGTCCACTGTTACACTGACGGTAGTGGTGCGGGAGGTGGTGACAAAGAGCTCCACATCAATAGAGACCCCATTGTTTTCCATGAAACCAATGATAAACTCGGTTCCTCTGTTATCTGGGGCTCCTGATCAGGTGAATAGGTAGAAAATATCAAAAGAAATAAAATATATATATACTTTATGAAACCTTGAAACATGCAGGAAGTATGCATAATTTTACTTTTTAACATTGTGTTGTTAAATAAGTCTGATAAAAATTTACCATTTACTTTAACTTTCAGAACTTATCTGCCTGTAACATTTCAGAATGTATTTACCTGATTTATTATGCATTGTTATATATACAGATGAACTGAAATGATGAGACCTGAATAAACCTGAAAAATGTTATTATACTTACGAGAAAACCATGCATATTTTGTTGATCTCTCCATTCTTTAACATTGAACTGTACTCACCTAAAACAGTGACTGCGAAGATCAGAGGTAACAGAAGAGGAAACACCCCTCCTTTTAGGCCACCTAGTATAAATAAATTTCTATTTTATCCATCAACAATATGACGAGATAAACACAACAATGAAAATGACGAACACTGGTATTTTCTATGGTCTTGTGTTTAACTCACATAAATCTCGTTTTCTAATATGAAATCCTAAAAGTCAGAATCCCATGAATGGTGGGATTTTTTGTCCTAACAACTATCCCAACTTTCTCCCATAGGATAAATAGTGTCAGATCGAATATTTTTTTTATAAGATTTTTTTTCTCCCACACGTTTGTTCGAATAAGGTAAATTGACGACAGATTTTTCCGTTATTTCCCAATCATGACAAGGAGCTCACGGCGGATGTGACCGGTTGACAGGGGATGCTCACTCCTCCATGGTATTTGATAACACCTCTGAAGTTTTGAAGGTCCGTGTTAGGTCTGCTCCTATTTTGTTTTGTTTTACGGATTTTTTAGCTTGAATACTGTTTGTTATCTCCATATTTTTCACCCCACGGAAATTGACAATGAGCGTTTTTCTCCCATATATCTTTAGACATGGGATATATCTCATGGATACTGATGAGTGAAATATCCTTATAATTTATTATGGAAATAATTATAATTGAATAAAATGTGTTCTGTACGTGTTAATATTAATTGTTTCAAAAAGTCGTTTGAGAACTGTAAGCCACCACTAGTTGCCAATGTAGAGCTGCAAAGACGTTTTTTAGATGTATATTTTACAAACGATTTTCTTAATTAAAAATAGATGATATTAAAAAATGTACAAACGATTTTAACGAATCGAACAAACCAATTTTTAAATCGGACAAACGAATTAATATTCCTTCAAATGATTTTTTTAATTGTAAAACGAATTTTTAAGTCGTGCAAATTAATTTCTATGTCGTACAAACTATTTGGTAAGTCTAACAAACGAATTTTCCAAATCGTTGAAAAAAATTCTTAATTGTACAATCGAGTTTCTATATCGTTTAAACGATTTTTTTTATTGGACAAACGAATTTTAAAATTCATAAAATCGTAAAAACGAATTTCCGAATCGTTCCAATGATTTTCTAAATCGTACGAACGAATTTCTTTTCAGTACAAATGAATTTATAGATATTACAATTGATTTAAAAATTCGTACATATATTTTCTACATCACTCAAACGAAACAAAAAAATGTTCAAAAGATTTTATGCGTTTTTTTTTTTTGTTTTTTTTCAAAATTGAAATGACACTTATCCGCATTCGTAATAATATAGTTCCCTAAAAGTACATTAAAATTTCTACCCATTTTGTCGTAAAATCCTAGCTCAAGAGGACAAACGAGAACAATATCAACAATTTATTTCCTAGTTTTCCTTTTCACTTGTGAATCTGAGAATTTCTAGCTTGATCTCACAAAATAATATCCTATTTTACTCCTAGTAATTCATATTTCTGCCTTATTTCTAAGAGAAAAAAAATCCTCTCACCCATTTCGCCGAGATATCTGTAGATGCTTTATATTTAGTAATGATATTTCTATCTTTATATATTAGATTAATGTTTTTCGATTACCCTGCGATAATCTATGACTGGGACAAACCCTGAATTATTTTTTAGGCTTAAATCTCCCATTATATTCTTTAATGTTTTACAAATAATGACATTTATCGAAAATAAAACAGCAAGAACTATCCAATGACAGGACAATGGGCATTCAAAAATATCGGTCATTGCTTCCTTAGTGTGAAAGCACTCTGTATTTAGCAGCAATTTAAAGGATTACAATTCACATAATGAACAAGTGCTTCAATAGAGCTAGACTAAATTATTCAATTCTTTTAGTTAAGTAATGGAACTTTTAGTTTAAGTTTGAAAGCATTCTTCACCCCATAGGGTGCTTCTGATACCTGTACATAAATCTATGAATGATTCTTAATTAGCCATATGTACCATCGTCTCAAGCCACGGTCCGGAGTCCGCATATAGCTCTCTCCTCCAGAATGGGAGAGGATCGTACATTTTGGCCGTGGTTTGCGACGATGCATATGTACGGGCTGTTCAATAAACTATGTCCTCGGAAAGAAACAACAACAACAAAAAAAACAACAACGCTTTTCTTGATTAAGTCTTAATGATTTCCCTTTTAAAACACATGTCCGTAACATTTTTATCAAATTCCTGGTTGTCTTTAGATCAGATTTTTGAGTTTGGCCATTCATATACTAGAATATTACAGAACCTATGATTTCCTAGACTTGTTTCTTTTTTCTGAAAGGTGTTTTGTTTAAAAGTTTGGAAAATGAAACAAGTCAAAGGGTGAAAGATCTGGCGAATATTGTTGGTGTGACAAAACATTAACTTTAATTTCTATTTATCCTAAAAACTTCAGAGCGTGAGGGTTTGGACGCTGTCATGAAGAAATTTAATGTAGTGGATTCCTGATCCTGGTTCCTTCCTCACATAAACCTTTCGATTTTTTTTTTTTTTTTTTTTTTTTTTGGCAAGGATTTTGCTTTCTAGACTCCTCCAGAAATCGAACTGCCTCCGGATCCCTAACAAGAATTTGAACAACAAGACCACAAATATTCAATAAAATGGCATCTAAAACTGTCTATGTGCTTTTGCAATTCTTACTCTTGTTTTATTTATTTTTTTGCTACTGATAGTTCTTTGTATGGATTTTAATATTTTTTTTTAACTTCCCGCTATGTTCTAACACTTTTGCATCTTTAAACTGTTAAATGGAAAGTAAAACTGAAATCAGTGCAGGTGTCCTTTGCTGACTTAACACACAAAACAGCCAAAAGTCAGGTTAATGTACTGGTATTTTATTATAATCCCCTCAATCCTTAAAATCATAATTCAGTCGATCAATGGGTAACATTTCTTTAAGGTGCATCGAGTCAATAATCGGTTCACCTGATGAGGGCTTATGTTCCGTTTAAATCCTTGTCTCAAGGACGCTTTAAAAACCTGTTAAGGGCGGTACGTCACACGTTAGCTTTTTGGAAAATTTTCAAAAGAACCTGAAATATTTAAATCAAAAAATTCAATTTTATAGCATATTTCATTTCAATGATACAAATATATACAGCATTCAATCAGAAAGTTGTCATGTTCTAAATTTTGAATTTACCGGGTGGGAGTAAATACAAAATTTAGAACATGACAAGGTCTGAATGATTCTTTTCCACCATAATGGAAGTTATCTTTGCTTTGATGATAGCCTAAGTCCAGTTGTTTCCTTTCTCTTTGTCGGGTTCTTCTACGTGTTTTCTATCATGTTTTCTTTGTTATTCCATGTCGCCCCTGTCCCTCCGATGTCCACATTAATGCTATCCTGGAATGGCCATCTGTTCTTATTCTTAGCAGTTAATTATCCTATCGATGGCTTTTTTTTTTTTAAATTTTACTGATCTTTTCAAAGTTTTCTACTTTTCCTACTCTTTATTTTCAGATTTTCAATGGCTAAAATATCCTCACAATCATTCTCAATTCTGTATGGAGGAAGATTTCATTTCCTTTGTTCATCTTCCATACAACAGAACAGATGTTATGTTTGACGTGAAGAAAATCAGATTGGTCCTTCATCAAATATAATATGCTGTTTTACCAAATTTCGGGGGGGGGGTCTTTTGTAGGCTACTCTAGAATGACCCTCTGCATCCCCCGTGTTGGTCCCTCCTTCTTGATTAACAATTGCAACTAGACAGACAACGGTGTCAACTTCTACACTGATACATGTAGTTCAATTAGTATACTAGTATCTCAAATGTTCATCACTGGCACAAACGTTTAAATTTATGAATTCAAATTTCGCGATACTACTGAAGGGGTACATTAGTCGGTAACTCTGACTTTTTTTTTGGGGGGGGGGGGTATGACCATGAAGTAACGCCTTTCATAAATGGAGACAGAAAATCCAACCTTTAGCATATTTTTATCATTGCATATATGGTTTTACAATTGACACTTGTTAGTATTGCACCAGTGCCCTGCGATTACATATTTAGTTTATTCTAAGTTCTTTTGTCGATTTAGTGACGTACATAAATAAGAAAGCTACTTATAATAAATACACATGTACTAAATTAAGGTTACAGAGATTCGACGATCGTTGGGTTCAGTTTAATAAAAAAGATGACCGCTTTACTTTCGTTGAATTTGGCATTCTTTCACTTTTGAGGATTTACTTATTCAAAAACCACTGGGCAGCTCAGTATATATGATTATGTGAAATACTATTAGTGTGTTTCTAATATAGAATAAAAGATACTAGATTCTTGTAAATCAAGAGTCAAATCCCTAAATATGTTATAGATATGATATGAGAATTTAATGATATTAAAAGACAACTGATTTTTTAATTAAAAATGGAACTCATAAAGAATCTAAGACAGCTGATATTCCTCTTTCATCATTTTTTAAAGTCATCATTTCGCAAGTTCTATTTTACAATGACGTTGTCAGCAAATACAACCTATTATTAAGTGGAATGTTGATTAGCTTCTTATACTAATTGTTGGGTTATTATTCAAACACTAAATTGTCTACGGATTATACCTTTATTTTTCGACATCAAGGATGTGAGCGCTTGATAGGGGATGCGTGCTCCTCCATGGCA